TATGCACCAAGACAAATTCCTTGTGTGTCCAATCAACTTGGCCAATAAAGTATTCTGTTCTGTTCTGTTCTGTTCCGTTTCTGTTTCTGTTTCTATTTCTATTCTCACATAAAAGTGACTCTGGGTGGGTTACAACACTTAATTAAAAAGCACTAAATACATAAAAACAAATAAGTTATAACATAACTATAAAAAGGGCACACAATTACCACAGAAAGGAGCAATCGCAAAATTTCTCCAGTCCCCTGGGACCCTCAGGCTGTTAAGTCTTAAAATGCAAACAGATTTTCCACTAGACTAGAGCAATATAACTAAGATAACTAAGATTGTTTCAAATATTCATTCGAGAACAAATTTCTATGCTATATTGCCCCCCCAAAATAACCTCCTGAATTCAGATTATAAAAAAGATTACCTGCTTAAAAAGTAGATAAATAGGAGTTTTAATTAAAACGGTTTAGAATTGTGTTTCTTAAAACATTTTTCTCTCAGGACCCTTTCCCACTGTTAAAAATTATGGACACTGAAGATTTGTTTGTTGGGATGTTTATCAACATTTCCTGTATTTCCTGTATAAAAAAATTAAAATTGGTATGTTCACTACCATTATAAATTCTCACAACTATTTGGTGGGATTTTATTATATTTTTCAATATAGGTTGGCAAATAATTTTGATTTCATATATCTGAAAAGGTTTTGGGGGGGTCCCCCAGGGGTTCTTGGACTACACTTTGAGGAACACTGGTGTACCGAAAAATGGATGTAGAACTGTGTTACAAAAGGATTGCAAGTTCTGTTCTGGTACCAAAAACAAATCTGCAGTGATGAGAATTAAAACAGAGATACTGTGTTGTGTGAAAACTTTGGGTCAAGTCAAAATTAGTCAAAACAAAAATAACATAAGTCACAATTCTGCTCAAGAACACTCCAATGTATTGTGGGGGGGAGCACACGCATTCACATGCAAGAGGAAGAGAGAGAGAGACAGAAGCAAAAAATTCCACAACTTTAATACCTATGTAGAGGTAAATATCTACTGGTATTGTTCACAATCCAAATCTAGTAGATTTTCACTACTGTGTGAAGTAGACCTATTTAAGTCATGGTTGTTTTAGCAATAACAAACCTAATAGCCATGGCACAATTTATTGAACCAGAATCCGGTTTGCAAACCACAGTTTCATTCATATTACACTAAATCAAACTATAAACAACTGCATTTTACTAAACCAAGCAGAACCTAGACTATTTAGTACTCCTTACAAAGATTTACAATGAAAAAGCAGCAATTAGCCAGCCAAGATTTCAGATTAACACAAATATTCAGCAAAGTCTCTGATCAGCTTCTGAAAAATCTTAGTTTTTTAATAATACCCAATAGTGAGTATAATACTTAATAGTAAGTAGATGCAGATTAGCAGCCACAATGAAATGGGCTTCTTTTCAGTAGAGACCTAATCATGAAAACCCCTCCCTTCTTCCCCTATTCTTTTATTAACTCCTCCTCTCAGCTGGTTCCTCCATTCTTTTCCTATTTGCTTCCAAACAAGTAAAAACCATGAAGGCTGGGCAGGTAGGTAGAAGCTAGTTAGAAGCAATTCTACCTGGCTTTCTACTTTCATATTTTGCTGAAAAGCTGGAATTTCTCATCTGGGTCACTACTTCATGGCTCTTGGGTAAGTATTTGTTTCTGGGGAAGGGCTGTTGTGTACAAACTGAACTAACCGCAGGCTTTTTCAAGAATTAGAATAACAGTTTTTCTACAGTTTGAATGTTCACCTGGGCAGGAATTAAAAAAAAAATTAAATTCCCTAAAAACATTAAAATGAGACAAAGTTGTCACATTTAAGTGCTTTTTAATTTCTGGAATGTTACTCTAATGTAATTTAACTCAACCTCTGAAATGATTGTGGACTGGTAGTTCTTAAAAATTTAAAACTAAAATTTAATTTTAAATTAACTTGTAATTATAAAATATTAAAAAATGGATTAATGAAGCTTGGAAAATAGCATTTGGGGAGAACATGGCACACGAAGAGAGAGAGAGAGAGAGATTAATCCTTGTATTTTCAAATATTCTTTGTAGTGGCTCTTTACACTGCTTTTATATTTGTACAAATATGAATATAAGAGCATATTTGCCAAGTTGTTCTTTGGCAAGAGCATATTGTAATTGTTTTAGAGCATGTTCTCTGAAGACAAAATTTGCCTTTCAAGTTTCCTATGTGGAAAAAAAAAGCAACAATTGTACAATACCAAATATAATGGTATAAAAGCAGGGGTTCCCACAACCGGGGGTGCAAAAACTTGGGTTTAGAAGTTTCAAAAGTATACTGTATATGTATAATTATATGCATATAATTATTTTAAGGGGTGTGAGAATATATCAGAAGTGTTATAGGGGTACGGGATATAAAAAGGGTTGGGAACCCCTGGTATAAAGGAATGCTTTAAAAAAAAAACTCTTAAGATACCAATGAGGGTCAAGCCCTATGGCCTGAGGACCCCTAATCTTTGGTCATCTGTCTTTCTATAAAATATTCATTATGGATTATGGCAGAAAAACCTAGGCAAGTACAGTATAAAAAGTACTTAGTATCAAGAGCCAGTCTTAAACCAAGCAACTTTAAAAGGCAGCCGGCATGCTTTATGTAAAAATCCCTTTAAATTTAGGGGCCTGATATCTGGCTACAGCCCTATAGGATTGAACCCACATCATACAATTACGCTGAAACGGGGGGAAAAGTGGCCCCTAGTGAGGGGAAATGTTGCTTAGTCTGATGAAAAAACAATTCTAGGTTTGCAACAAAAATTGCAGGTAATATAATTTTGAAACGAGTAAGGAAGGGCAGGGGCGCGGGGGCTGCTCATTCCTAGCGCCCCTCCAAATTCAGTCCCTCCAAAATCGTTTCGGTTTGTTTATTTTTTTCGGTGCATCCCTGAACGTGGCTCCCTTTGCTTCCACGAGAAGCGAGGCGAATTTGCGTTTTGCCGGCTTCCACACGTTAACATATCCGGCCGCACGTATAAGCCAAAACTACTGAGTCTGCTGGCTCATCGCTTCTGATACACGCCGCTCTATTTTGCAAACCGCTCGTTCGCCGGGTGGCGCCGACCCAGCCAAAGGATGCTCTTTCCCCTAACCTAACTTGGTGCGCGAGCGGGTCCTTCACCCTATCGGACCCATGAATAGCCGCAGCGCCGAATTTCCCTCAGCGCGGTTAGAACCCCAGCGTTCCTTCGCTCCCCCACTCCCCATCTTTCCCGCCCCACCCCCCGCGGTTAACGGTCCATCCAGTCACGTGGCGAGGCCCCGAATGCCGGAGAAGGCGGCCATGCGGTTGCTGGGGTGGGACAGGGCGGCCGAAGCCGGGTAGTGATTGGAGAGTCGTCGGCTGACCTTCCGCGGAGGCCCCGCCCCTTTCGTAGCTCCGGGGGCGTAGGGTTTATAAGCGGGGACGCGAGCGGACGGGCGGGCTTGAGTTGCTTTGGCTGATGAGGTGAGTTGTTGGTTGGGGGTTGGAGGCCGGACGGGTGTGAGGGGGAGCGGTCGGGGCTGTGATGCCGACGTATCGCGGAGCCTTGGGGGCGCCTGTTCCTGGCTGACCGAAGGATGTCGAGGGAAGAAGAGACGAGCCTTGTCACGGTCCCAATTCGACGAAGGGATGCCTCGGGAGCTCCGGTCCGCCAACAACATGGACGGCTTTGAGCGGAGGATGACCCAGCGCTGCCTCGTCACTAGTCTCTGCCAAGCTGTCTTGCGGGCACTGAAGGAGGGTCCCCTCTTTTCCCCCCCGGCTCTGGCAGGGATGGAACTTCCCTGGCTTCCCTTGTTGCCCTTACCTGCTTTCCCCCCAAAAAAACACCATGGGAGATGGGCTGCGAATGGATGTCTCCACCGTTTTTCCTGGGTGGGAATTAGACTGATGCTCCTTTGAAGAGGATACTTCCTAGAAAGTGAACTCGGGAGTCCCTAGTAGGCTTTGGATGAGGTGGTGGAGCTGCGTTCCTCTTAATTACCTTTAGAGTAAGGGACTGCTTGTTTCTCCTCTTTGGAAAGAGATAAAAAATGCTGATTGATTTACCTTTTACTCCTCCTCTCATCATTCCACTGGATGATGGTATAAACATTTGTAAAATGGGACTTTAGTCTTCAAAAGCACACTTGCACATGCTTATACTGTATATGCCCAGAAGCATGCACACAAGTGCACACATGCATACAAAGGTACTCCCAATATTTGGTTTCTTATGTATCGGAGGGCTTCTGTCCCTTTGGAAGTTTGTATTTTTATTTCAAGGGATGCTGGTGCGGTGTAGCCTTGTTCTACCATGTGCTATAACTGTCAGTATTAATTCTATGCTTCCCTGGTCATCAAACAATACAGGAAGGGCAAAGGTTTCGCTGCTTTCTCTGCCCTCTCTGTCTCCCTGTAGGTTGCTGCTAACATTTCATTCCAGATCCTGTGTTTTTAGTGCATTGAACAAGAGCCTACGGGCTTCTTAAATATCTCTGGAATTTTAAAAGAAAGAAGAGTTTGGAATTGAATTCTGTATAGATGAAACCAAAGTGTGTTTTTGGCTTGGTGTGAATTGTGGATGGTCCTTAGTGGATATGGCTGTTAGCACTATACTAGGACAATAACAGCAAATCAGGAGAAATTGAAGCATGAAGAATGTTGGTTCTTCTAAAGGACTCTTAAGGAGCTGTGAAGTTTGCAATTCCTTAACACTGAAATGCTGTAGTGAGTATCCTTTGAGAATTTCTAAAGTGATGCCTGTATTCCACATTTAAAGGAGAACATAGTTTGTTCCTTGAAAGTTCTGTGGTTCTGGAAACACCTTTTGCATTGCAGTGTATAAGGTATTTTCTGTTGAAGGCACACAGCACATTGTTACTTGCATATTTATGCCATGCTGCTTGCTTATTTAAAGATGCTGTGAGGGAGGGAACAGCTAATCAGCCCCAGTTTTTTTTTTTGCAGCCCTAGCCGTTCCAATGGTGCAACTTTCACAGTCCCCCCTCCGCCGCCCTTCACCTTCATGCCACTCTGAGGAAGGGGAAGAGAAGAGCATGAAGCCTGATAAGCAGCAGGTGACTCAAGGTCCTCGAGGGGATAACCAGCCTCCCATGAGCCCCCTGCAGGCAGCTTTGAATTCTGCAGCCACAGCTTCTCAGGCATACGAGACTTACATTGATAATGGACTTATCTGCTTGAAACACAAAATTAGGAATATCGAGAAAAAGAAGGTAGGGATATTTTTCTAAACTAATAAAGTGCAAGAAATAATATTGTAAGACCATAATTGCTTTCACTGTATAATCTGCCTTTGCTTATAGATTTGGAAAGCAAGGTGCTCAGGGGAAGTAATTTTATTTACTGCTTATAAAAAAATAATTTGCTCTATCCAGAATAAGTGTATGGGTAGTTACTTTTCTTTAGATATTTGCGGCTTTTAAAAGAAATTTTAAGATGGACTTTACATTTAATTTTAAGATAGCTTTGTGACTACAGAGGAATAGGTTTTAAGTAGATATGACATACATATTCATTTCTTTACTGTGTCTTTTATTATACAACAGTCCCTTGTAATAAAAAGTATAAGTTAAGTTACATTGAATTACTGTGTAATTTCTGTGCTGTCAGTGTAATGAAACCTGCCTGACTGGAAATAACTTCATGCTTCATTAATCCCTTTCTTTCTGTTGAAAGATTGCTTTACAATATAGCTGCAAGAGATTTAAATATGTTAAAAGGCTGTAGTTAGCTGTGAATATATATATTATCTCCAAATCACAATGGTGCTTTTGATATTCTAACATTTCTATTCATCAACAGTCCTAAAACACTGTTTCTGTGTTTAGAGAAATGCTAGGTCATATTAGCTCTGTTTGCAATCTCCTGTATAGAGCTTGGACTGCAGCAATGAATTATAAAGGGTACTTTTTGATTTATTGTTTCACTGATCTCTAATGCAGTGCACTTAAATATCTGGTATATTTTCCAAAAATGTCAGATTGAAAGTTAACCTTACAATAGCATGATATAATATATGGTAGCAATGAATGTTGCAATGAATGGTATTTGTGTGGTTCAAGCTTGGCCTGTGTCTGAAGAAAAAACTTGTTCATACTTGTTTGACTTATGTTTGCAGCTCAAGTTAGAAGACTACAGGGATCGGCTGAAAAGGGGGGAGGTCCTCAATCAAGATCAGTTGGTAAGGTATCTGTTTTTATACCTCATTTTTATTTTACCAACTTTTTTTACAGCTACTCTTGATCAGTTAAATGGCATGTGGTAGGAATGCCACATGTGCATATATCTAGCTAGCTAGGCTAAATTCCTGCTATATACCGAGTGTATATAGAAAAACTTGGGGTTCTTTTTGTTAAGACTTAGCAGAAAATATAGGCTTTAATAAATAAAATGTGATAAAGTTTAACACTAATGGGAATAGAAGGCTTCTGGGAAATGAAACATGTTCCTTTCAGTGAAACTCTGCATCATTCAAGTTCCCCACCTATAACCTATAATTTACTTTGGCCTGTTGATTTACTTTAGCCAGTTGATAAAGGGATAAAGTAATGGTACTGGGTTCAAACCATGCTAATCAACAAATTAGCCAATAACATTTTAACTTAGCATGTTTGTGCAAACCATAACTTATACCTCTTAGATATAAGAGCTGTGGACATTGTCAGTAGAATGGACCTGTCTCATCTGCTCTTTACAGCCTTCTCTTATTTCCTGCAGCATTGTCTGAGTACCTTACAATATAGCCAAAAAATGTTTCTGAGTATTTAAAGAGATTTCCAAATATAAGGTACTTGAACAAATTTGGTTAATCTGTATGTATTAGCAAAATCAATTGCCATGATCTTTCAAATAGTACTATAATGCAGACTTTTATAACCTGGGAGCCTTCCATTGTATTTGGGATCACAGCTCCTAAAATTCCTTATAGAACAGCAAAAAGTAATCAAATATGATGACACTTGGAGGATTCCATGGGAGATAGAATTAATGTTTTGGTGAGAGGAAATTCATGCTAAAGATTTTCTGAGTGGCGTTTGAAGTACTTTAAATAATTTTAGAAGGAGTCATGGTAGATCATACTCGCTCATGTAATTTGTGCAAATAAAAAACACTGTGATATTTTAAAGTGTATTAAACATACTATCTAGTTGATACTTTATTAATTGCTTAGATGCTGGGGTGTCTACCTGCATGTGGTCCTAGACAGCTAGTAATGCAACCCCACAAGATATAAAAAAGGGAATGTTATTTATATTAATTATATTATACATTTTATATGTCACCCAATGGCCAAGACAAGCCAAAACGTTAGACAACATGCTTTAAGTTTAATTTTTCTTTTACAAGGTTTCTGCTTAAATGTTTGGAACTTGATGCCATGCAGAATCTATTTTGAATTCATAATAGTCATATTGGCAGAAACAAAGTTAGGTATTCAATAATCTAAAGTTTTGTTTCATGTACTGTTGCAAAATAGAGAGTTGTGGCTGATTTAGAACTGAGGTATAAAGATGAATTAGAAAGTTTTGGTTAATACTTCTTGGGTTGGTTGTATATTGCTAAAATTACAAAAGCATATTTTAATAGCAATGATCCAATTTAGACATGCAATCCAATTTGCATTATTCCAGGTTCCTGTTGTGGAAATTCCTACTATTAAGTTAAATATTTAAATTTCTTTTAAATATTTGGGTTGGCGTATTTAGCTGGTATGAAATAGCTTTTCAGCTACTATGAGGCAACATACAAATTGGTAAATAAAAACACAGAAAAGTTATCATGCAAAAACTAAAGAAACAAATTAGGATTGCTGGTGTAATAATCATGTATTGTTCAAAATAAAAAAATGGAGGAAATCAATTATTGTAATACTCTTGATGTATTTAAGGGCTACCTTGGAGATATCTGCCATACTACAAATAGAAATAATTATTTTAAACTGCAATATAGTCCTTTGAAAAGATACTAGTTAATTTTTAATATTTTAATACTTTTTTTTACTGAACAAAATTTTATAAAGTTATTTATAAATTTTTATGTGGTGTATACTCTTAGTGCTGTGTTTATAACAATGTCTATGTTCATGTGAGTATCTTTCAACAATCTTTTATTTAAATAGTCACAAATGTCATAATTCTTAAAATGTCGCTTAATCCTCCCTAAGACTTAATGGTTGTTGCTTGTTTAAGTTTATTTTTTATAAAAGTCAGCCAAAGTCCTCTTTCATGTTAAACATGTTATAACTGGGGTGGGGGGGGGGGGTGTTTCAACACTTTAACATGATGTGGAAACTTTATTGATAAAAAATATTCATGTTTTAAAATATAAATCTTGCCCAAATCAAAATATGAAGAGTATTTATTCTGATCAGTATGAAAAATAGAATGCTTGTTTAAAATTAGCCAGAATGCTGTATAAGCAAATAAATCCTGACCAAATAAAATTGGCTGATGTTTTACTTGTGTTTCATTTTGAGTGTAAGCCAGGGGCAGAAAACATTTTGTTTTAATATGTGCACTTTGCATAGTAAAATCAAATTAGTGTTTTAATCCACCCAAATATGCCATACATTTTATTTGAGGTACTTCAAGATCCATCTCAATAAACCTAGATGCATTTTAAATGAATAAAAACTGACTAATTGCAGGAAGCTGTTGAAAAATATGAAGAAGTTATACATAACTTGGAGTTTGCTAAAGAACTTCAGAAGACATTTTCTGGACTAAGTCAAGAAGTGAGTACAGCATATAATTGTGTTATTAGGTAATTAAGTTGACTCAGAAAATGTGTGAAGAATTAGATTTTTTCCCCACTGCTAAAATAATCACAGACTTGAATTATGCCTCTTCCATGGCAGAGAAGCTGCTTCTGACCAGTCATGATATGTATATGTAGGATGTTTTATTGTACAGGTAGTCCTTGACTTACAACAGTTTGTTTAGTGACTGTTGAAAGTTACAACGGCTCTGGAAAACATGACTTATGACCATATTTCACAGTTGCAACCTTTGCAGCATCCCCATGTTCATGTGATCAAAATTCAGATACTTGGCAACTGGTTCACATTTATGACCATTACTGTGTCTCAAGGTCATGTGATCCCCTTTTGCGACCTTCTGACAAGCAAAGTCAATGGGGAAACCAGATTCATTTAACAACCGTGTTACTAACTTGTCAACTGCAGTGATTCACAACTGGGACAAAAAGTTCATAAAATGGGGCAAAACTCACTTAACAAATGTCTCACTTAACCACAGAGATGTTGGGCTCAATTGTGGCTGTAAGTCAAGGATTACCTGTATCTACAAACATAAACTTAAAAGAAACGTACATAATATGGCCCATATTACTTTGATATAGGATATACGGACAATTAAATTGCTTGCATTTTAGGCATTAGTGTTTGTAAAAGCTTGAAATTTGGGACTTGGGAAATTCCTTATAAATGTGGTTAAAATAATCATTGGCTGAAGATATTTTCCTGAGCTTCAGTCTGTCCATTGTTTAGACCCTTTTATGAACCCACCACCAATCTCTTCTTCACATTGATACAGCTACTAAAAGCACAGCGGAAAGCGCAACGAAGAGAAACCTTACTGAAACTTGAAGCAGAGAAGAAAAAGCTCCGCACAATACTGCAGGTCCAGTATGTGCTGCAGAATTTTACTCAAGAGCATGTGCAGAAAGACTTCAGAAGTGGCTTGAATGGTGCAATATACTTGCCTTCTAAAGAATTAGACTACCTCATTAAGTTTGCAAAATTGACATGTTCAGGAAGAAATGAAACTGTTAGGTAACTTTTCTTACTTTACCTTTAAATCAAATAAATTTTGCAACAGCATATTGAAAATTTGGTTTTAAACCATTGGTGGTTTGTCTTGTTGCTGGATTCAGTTTTGGCAACCCCTTCAGGATGTAGTCCCTGACATAGTTTGTTTCCTTGTCAAAGATAAATGAAATATTTCTTCTGTGCATTTTTTGACTCACTTCTCCTGTTTGATATAATTGCATCAAGCAAGAAAAGTTGTTATTTGCTCTTAGTTTCCCATGCTTGGAGTATAACTGGAATCGTAGGAAGGTAGGTTTTAGTGGGGAGTGGGTTTTGATTAAATTAACTTTCAAATCTGTATGAGGACAACCTGCATAATTCTGGCATAATACATACCTTAAGACTACACAGGCTGCCCATATGTACTCAGTTGCCTTGACAAGGAAATGTCATACAGTATCAAATGAAACAAATTTATTTTAGTAATATGTACTCTATTATGACTAGTTTGATTTATCAATATACTGTTTTGTTACTCTTAGATGTAATTTTAATCTATTCAGTCTAGAACTATGTAATACAACATTTTTCAATCACATTCATATTCACATTCAGATTGATGTACCTAGTTTTACAGAAATACGAGCATGACTTTCCTATTAAAATGTATTTTGAAGATATTCCTTAAAATGTAGCATTTCAGCCTCAGTTAAATTCTCTTGGACTGGAATATATAAATGGATGTTATCATTCTGCTATCAAATACAAAACCAGAATTTCAGGCAAAAATGTATTATTTCCAAATACATAAAAAGTGTACCTTGTTTTAGTATCCATTCCTACTTACAGGAAATTAGATTGGCGTATTTAGCTGGTATGAAGTATATGGAACATTTTTCAGTTGCCTTAGTTTGAACTTTGCTAAGGAAAGGTCTGTTACCAGCTAACTTAGCAATAAATAGCAGGCCAACCTATTGATTAAAACTTGATTGCAAACTATTTTTTTTGAAAACTTTGTTTCTTTCTTTTCATTTTAAGCGTTGAAGACCAAATGGAGCAGTCATCACTCTGTTTCTGGGACCTGCTAGAAGGCAGTGAAAAAGTAGTGGTCGGGACAACCTGTGAGTAGAAAGAGGCTCTGTTGTTATTTTGTCAAGCTATAATATGGTTTTGCTTTTTGCTTAGCATTTGAAAATCCACCCATTGGAAACTAGGTCATTATGGCTTGGGCAGGAAAGCAGGATTTGAAATCCTGGGTTAGTATTGTCTATATAAGGTGTGAGAGTTTCCAGTAACGGATGATACCGCTATTGAGGAAACCATGATTTAGATAGCTGCAAAATACATGTCACTAACTTGAAATATTTATTTTTTAAGATGAGTGGTTTCTGCTAGCCGGAGTTTTAAAATATTTTAGGAATATCATTTAATATTGAACACCTTTTCTTTTAGATAAGCATCTGAAGGATTTGTTATCTAAACTGATAGATTCTGGATATTTTGAAAACATTCCTACACCTTGCAACAAACCAGAAAAAGAGGAATTGAAAGAAGAAATGCTTGAAAAACCCAAACAGTTGTCAAAACCAGAGTCTGTCAATGAAATAGGTAATGTATACATTTAAATCTTAAATTACATGATTGACCTTGTCTGGACTTTCAGGTTAAAATGGGCTTGTATCAAGGCTGTAAAACAAGACTCGGGAAATGTTCCTGAAGACACCTAGAAATTCCCAAGACATGGTGTGAATGAAGTCATCATGAGTCCCATTTGACTCAAAGAAAATGCCACTGAAAAATCAATAACTTATTTCTAGCCTATAACCTTTTGTGAAACTGCACATCAGGGACAACATCTGCAGAAATATATTTTTCTTAAAAAATCATAGGTTGGAGTCCATCCTTTGCACATAATACATTTGCAATTCAAATTAAAGCTCTAACCATACTGTGTTCATTTAGTTTGAATTGTATTAAATTTCAGGCTGAAATTGGGTTTAATTGCTTTGAAGTTGGTAACATAGTTTCTAAGCTAATTGTTAAAGGTTTCTGATTTGGCCATTTGCAGGCAGATAGGCTACATTCCCAGGTAAAAGTGCCAACTCATTTCTTGAAATAACTTATGACTGTCCAAACCAGGCCAGTGTGGTATGTAACTTTTTGGCCTAGATTGGTGCTTTGAAGTTTGAAGATTTTTAAATCTCCAAAACCTCTTGTAAACAAATTAGAAATGTACATGATACATTTTAGACAAGTAGGATTACAGATACTGCTGAAGTTGTTAGATTAGGTTAATTTTCAAATGTTATTTTCCTTCCCATTATTTTTTGCAAATATTTTCTGGTTTATCAGTACTGTGTTTTTTTTGTTTTTTTTTGTACAGTAAACTATTCAGTGTCATGTGGCCTTTAATTAATAATTAATAATTATTATTTAAATAATAACAATAATACATCCTGCAATATCTTTAATGCCATCAAACATTTTGCCCGCTTATTCGAAGGATACCAGATCCTTGGGAGGGACCCTGGGTGGATAATAATGCCAAATACAGTCTAAACATCTGATCCACTGAATACCTCATGCTCCCCACAATTGCTTCCCAACCTGCCACACCAGATCACTTACTGTGCGAAGATCTAGCAAGCTGTCTCCTCTCCAGCCTCTCAGCTGTGCACACCCCTCCGAAGCTCTGTTTTGGCATGCCCAGGCCTCATCTGGCACTTTGTAACTCAAAACGAAGCTTCAGAGGGGTGCCCCTGGCTCTCTGGAGCTGCTTTTTGGCATGCACAGGCCTCACACTTTGATATAAACATAATGTAAAGGAAAAACCATATTTTGAAATTACAGAGGGAGGGTTGCAATAAAGTATGTTGATCAAAAATGTAAAACTTTTTTTTAGAGAGTTCAAGATCTGTTTCCAATGTACCATATCAAATGTGCTCTCTCTAATAGTTGCTGGATTATGATTATTGAGTTAAAATATTTCATCAAATAAAAATCTAATACTATTGGAACCTTTGTAGTTTCAGCCTGAATAAGATACAGAAGAGTTGAGAAAACAATTTGGAATAAATCAAGTCTACCGGGAAGTCCATGACACTGATTTTGGGGATTTTTTTTCTGCAAAAATGGACATTTGTACATCCGCTATGCAATTCCATCACATAATGCACAACTAAGTACAAAATCTTTCTTCTTCAAAATTCTGTGAGGCCTTTAGAGTACGGGTGTCCAACCTTGGCAAGACTTGTGGCTGGCTGGGGAATTCTGGTAGTTGAGGTGTACATGTCTTAAACTTGCCAAGGCTGGCTACTCCTGCTTTACAGCATTTTAACATGACACCTTCAGCCACCTTGAAGTGAAAATACCAATGTTCACTTTACAGAGAACCTTTATTCCTGTCTTTCAGGATTTGTTGAAATTGTGGATCATGTATTGCTTTACAGTAGTGCTGGTTTTATGATGGAATGTATTACCTGCATTTAATTCCACTTCTAAGTACATATTGCAGTACATAAGAATTTCATTTTTTTGTTGCAGATATTACAAAAGTATAAAGCTTTATTTTTTAAAGTTGCCAAATTTCATTTCAGAGCTTTTATCATTAACAAACAGTGAAACAAAACAGCTATTATTAAACTGATTAAAACAAAAGATAATTTGGCATCTCTTAGTTTTTAATGTCATTTCATATAATTTATAAAATTGAGTATGTTCTTGCTACATTTTTATACAATAGTTTTATAATATATGATTAATCATAAGTACTTGTTAAACACTAATACTTGTATTTTATTATTCTATTTATTTTTCTTTCTAATTGGATTTTAATACATTATATTTTATATTAATGTAAATTCTATTACATAATTATACTTGTTTTTCAATACCCATAATAAATGGAGATTTTTTTGAGTTAAAAAACTTGGTTCCCATGTGTCCAAAATAGAAGATAACTAAGCAAACCATTACTAAATTGTTTAAATAAAAAACACTTGTTAAGATTACTGTCTCCACTTAACTTGGGTTAGCACATTTTTCAATATTGACAGGTTTTGACAGTAATTTAATTAAGTCACTGTTAATCTGAAAAAAATCTACTCTCCCCTATCGACGTAATAACATTTTCATTCAATAAAGATAAATTCAAACTTCATTTAAAATGTTTTAAAATTATTGTAAGATAGGGATACAAGCTTCACAGATGTGTGGTCTGTTATTATAGCATCTGTGCCAAATGCTTTAATTTTAGATTGAAAGAAAATGAAACCCAGTGTTGCATTATGGTTTAGGGTGTTGGGATTAGGCTTCAGAAAGCACCCTTTTAAATGTTTTAAGCCACAAAAGTGTCCAGAACAACATTAGGCCAGTCGCAGGCCTGATTGATCTCACAAGTTATACATTAGGATGAAATTTAAGGAGGAAAAGTTGTGCAAATTGCTTTCAATTCCTAAGAATAGAATATGGTCAGAATTTAATAATGATTGCATTGTTTGCCTGTGATTAGACATTCATGTATTTTAAGAATTTTTGAGGAACATAGTCATAAAGCATTGGTAGGAATCTGCACAAAAATGATAAGCCTAATTACAAATCTGCAGAACTTGTTTTGTGATTAGAAATTTATTGTACCATGCATTTTGATCAAGATTGCCCAAACCCATGCATACAATAGTAACAATATGTGTGATTTGTACTGAGATAAATAAAATATTGCACATTGCTAACTTGGAATAGGAAACAGAATTATGGTTGAAGCCACTCAGTCCAAAATCTGACTCTGGGTTCATATCTTGCCCTAATCTGTAATGTATTGATTTTGGCTTAATACATTGTGTGAAGTGAGCCAAATATGTCATAAATTATGGTTAACAAATTATAATATATTGTGTTAATTAACTTCACTCTCTTAACACAATTGCAGCACTTGCTTCTGCAAGTACTTTAATTCAAGTTGCTTTTTTTTTTGTTTCCAGAATCTCAAAGGCAGCATGTTCAATCTGAAATACAACCTCAAGAAGTAAGTCCACCATATTATCTGATACATAACAAGTAATGTAGTGGGGTTATAAGTAGCTTTTAATATAACTTTCATTATAAGCTTTGCAAATACAAAATCTCTTTAAAATCTTGAAGAATTTCAAGTTCCAACAAAATAAATTGATTTTCATTTTTTATTATTGACTTCAACTTGTGTTTGCTAAACTTCCTTCCTTCCTTCCCTTCCTTCCTTCCTTCCTTCCTTCCTTCCTTCCTTCCTTCCTTCCTTCCTTCCTTCCTTCCTTGAGCGAGGTCAAAGATGGAAAATTTCTATTATTTGAAAAAGTATCAGGGAATCATTGGTATTTGGTAATTCTGAAGAATCCTAAGTTTTTCTGAGGCACATCACAAGTTTAAAATTAACAATGACACAAACTGGCACCAAAATAGTTTGTAAAATAATACTTAATAAATCCACACCAGCAAAAAAACCCCACAAATGAGCCACAAAGCAAGTTCAAATAAAAGTAAACCTGTGCAGAATGTAGATTGAAGCTCAAACTAAAAATAGCTCTAAAATAAATCAAGTACCAAATAAAATCAAAGTTCTGACCTGCTCTAAATTGTACTTACTACATCTGGCAGGCTTGGATTCCTCCCAGGTCTTACAATGTGTTTACATTCTTCCTCATAGCTAACTGCTGCTTCTGGGAAGTTTCAAATTTTTTCAAGCAAACTTTTTCCTTGTTCTTTAACTGGGGATGGAAAGAGTCATGTCTACTTACTATATTAACTGGCCTTCTTGGGTTTACTTATTAAATACAAAGTATTAGGAAACCAGCCTAGTTTTGTGTGAATTCTGATTTAACAGAGAAACCTGCCTATCCCAGGTCACGTCTAACAATTGGCTTTACAAGGCTTTTGGGATATGCTGAAAAATCTGTTAATACAGCACTATATTTAGTCTAAATTTCTGATCAAATTTTATGTTTAACTTATCCTAATCAAAAAAAACTTGCACAAGTTATTTAAAAAGCTAAAGCATACAATTCAACCTGTTTGTTCAAGTACAGGATTTGACATGTAATCAGTAAACGAAAAAAAACCCTCAATAGTTGGATAAAGTAGTAAAAGGAATCCACCTCATTAGTTCTGAAATAACAATATTTCAGATCCATTCATATCCATTACATTTGCCATATGCAGTGACTGGAAATTGTCTATAAAAACTGACTATGCAAGTGCCTTATTTTTATTTATCTTCTCAGTTTATAGGCTATTAAGCTTTTATATCTTAGTGATAAGACTACATTAAGTTTATAATTTTTGAGCTGACCAAAATGAAGGTTTGTAAATAAAGTGGTTAAGGCATCAGTCTAGAAAGCAGGAGACCATAACTTCATGTCCTACTTTAGCCATGAAAGCCAACTGGGTGACTTTGGGCCAGTCACATTCTCTTAGCCCAACCCATTTTCACACAGTTGGTGTTGTAGGAAAAACAGGAGGAGGAAGCTCTGGGTGTTGAATATGTTCACTGTTTTTGAGTTATTTGTAAAAATAATAAAGGCAGGATACAAATAAAGATGTTAAAGAGAAGTATGTTTTATTTTTTTCACGTTTCCTTGAATATTTTAAAAACATCGATCAGTTCCTTTAACTTTATACAGAAGAGGGGAATCTAAATGGTCAGAAGTAGGAATTGAAGGCTGAGTTTATTTATGAAGATACTTAAATTTGGCAATCTCTTCCAGCTGCAATAATAGTGGAGTGGGAAACCAGCCAATCTGACAGACAAGCTTTTTAGCTGGCCACTTCTCATGAAGCAAAACATCATGATGGAATTAAAAGTCCCATTCACTGATAAACACAGTTCACAGGGAGGCACTGCTTCAGAGAGCTGGGAATATCTTGAAGTAATGTGTTATTCACCTCTCCTCCTCCCAGTCTCATCTGTCTGTCACCTTTGCCAGTGAAAAACACAAAGAGTTAATCCAGTTGCAAGATAATGACATTTGAAAAGTGGGGTCTATTTAAAGAAAGCAAAGAATATAAAAGCAAAACTCTCTAATACTATTTCTAAAATAGCATCTAAAATAGCCACCTATCAGATGCATAAGGATAAAGCTCAAGAATGAGATGAATATTTGACTGATGCTATACCAAAAGTATATATACTTATTAATGCCTCTCCACTTGTCCATATACACTACCTAATTCATTTCTTCAACTGCAAGTTGTTATAACAATTTACCATAGTAAGTAGTCCTAATAACCTTATATGGGATTGAGCCACTGCAAGATTATGGCAGTTTTAGATACAGATGGCTTGCAAGTAGATGGCTTACTTCAGAAGCAAAGTGTTAACCTATAGATTTATTAGATTTTTATCTTCTGCTGAACCCAAAACAACTGGTTCTTTGGTGACTATATATTCTAGAATCAGAGCAGCTTAATTTTGTACTGGAAAAGATACTGTTTCCATAGTTACCAATGTTTTCAGACACCTCCCTTGATAGCTTCCTGCCACCTGCCTTTAATATATTTTTAAATTAAAACATTAAAAGGGAAGCCAGTTTGCTGCAAAGTGTTCGCTTTTAACATCTTTATAGGCATTTTTGGAAAAAGTGTGTGACTGCAGTGTTTTGCTTTGCTTACTGTTCTCACTAAATGCAAAAGGAGAAGGCAATATATTGGAGAGGGGAGATAAATTTGGGTGATTGACAACAGCCTCTTTAGTTTACTTCTGATAAGTGGATATGTTTTGACTTGGATATACAGTATCCACTTTGGGATTAATAAGTGTTCCTGCAATACCTGCCATTTTATACGAGTACCATGAATGTACAGTAAAACCTCTGGTCACAACCATCATTCATTCCATACCTTTGGTCGCAACCTGATTTGGTCATGACCCAAACCTAATTTTGGAAATTTGGCGTTTACAAAAAAAAATGGCGCGGAAGGAGAAATCGGTCGCAGGAAAAAAATTGTGAATTTTTTGGTCTTGGTCAGAAGTGTTCATGACCAGAGATTCTACTGTACTCTAAAATTTGGGAATGTCCTCACTGGCCCTAAGACATGTCCTCCCACAAACTAGAGATTCTATCGTCTTTACTTGTTGCTTTAGCAATAAGGTATATTTTAATTGATATCTATTGGCCCCTCTGATGAGAACTACTGTGCACATTAATACAGCTTATGCTGAATTTTATGCTGTTCCACTGAAGTGTTTCTTTTTTGTTTTGGTCTATACTACATAGTTTCTTAATAGGCGCTATTTGCCTGAAGCAGACTGTACTGTCAAGTCTGAAGGAACCAAACACTGGGAAATAGAACATGCTGTAAAAAGTGATCCCCCCAAGTCCTGGGAAATGCTGGTTGATGCTGAAGAACAGGAACAGAAAAGGCAAAATCCAGAATCCATGAAATCATTGGAATCTGTTAATCAAGAAGGGAAGAAGAAGCTGGAACTTTCGCGGCCTTGGGAATCGCCTCTTCAAGAAGTTGATGATCATAAACAGAATGTTCCAAAGCCTTGGGTGGCCCCAGTTAGAGAAGAGCAGGCCTCTTCCAAATCCTGGGTCACAAAAGAGAAAGAAGAGCAGGAACCAAAGCAAGAAGGTCCCAAGCCTTGGATAACTAAAAGTAAAGGAGGATTGGAACAAAACCAGGAAAAGCCAAAAAAGTGGGTGTCTCAAACTAATATGGAAACTTTGAAAAAAACAGAACCTTTGAAGCCTTGGGATGCACGTGTCCGAGACGAGATGGAACAAAAGAAACAGCAAACTGAAAAGCCATGGGTCGGACATACAGGAGAAGAGGCTGAGCAAAAATCTCAGCCTCCAAAAGTTTGGGAAAAATCTGAGAGATCACAGCAAGTGGTCCAGCAGCCATTACAGAATCCTCCTAAGATCTGGGGAGTTGGGAATCTTGTACCAAAGGATCAGACTGAGCTAAAGAAGCTTGACGGGGAACTAAAAGAAGTGAGTTGGTATAAACCAGGGGTCCCCAACCACCGGTCCGGGGACCGGTACCGGTCCGCGGAACAAGTCCTACCGGGCCGCTGGTTGCTGGGCGCCGCCATCTTTTTTTGATGAAAAAGTGCTTCCGGTGAGCTTTTCCGGGTAGAAAGCCATTTCTACCTGGAAAAGCTCACCGGAAGCGCTGGCGCCGCCATCTTTTTTGATGAAAAAGTGCTTCCGGTGAGGTCACCGGAAGCACTTTTTCATCAAAAAAAGATGGCGGCGCCCAGCTGATGCCAGTACCGGGCCGCGGCGCCCAGCTGATGCCGGTACCGGGCCGTGGCATAAAAAAGGTTGGGGATCACTGGTATAAACAACAGCATTCAAATTAATGTGCTTTGCTTGAAAAGTAATTGCTTCACCTATTATCTATTTCTGTCAATATACTATTGGTAATTCAGTGGTTTTTCTATGTAGATTCTAGGCTGAAGAGAAGAAACCTTGACACCCTATTGAGGCTCACAAAACAGTACAAGCACTTGATATACATCAGTTTTTAGCAGAAGGAAATACTTGTTGCTGAATTGAGATCTAATAAATAGATTTTTTTGGCTTCTATAGGCTGGAAAGACAGGTGGAATAAATGAACACAGCATTGATGCATCAAAGAAAAAAGAGAGCTTTCAGTCAATTGGAGAATCATGTAAATTACCCAGGAATATCCAAAATGTCATGCAGGTGTGCTAGTCAGATTACTACAATATTTTGAAGTATATAAAATATTTGTATGAGTTGATGCTATATTTCTGCATAAAAAAACAGTATTTTGCTTTAGCCTTTTTAAGAAAGTAATCAGTGTCATAGAAGGAGAGCCACCTCTACTGTGATACTCCCCCCGTTGGAGCCCCACACTAAACTGGCAGAGCCAGGTCTTTAGGTTCTTCTGGAAGGTCAGGAGGGTCAAGGCCTTTAAATGATTACATATTCCAAGTTCAAATTGTTGACTAGATAAAAATCCATTCTATAAAAATGAATTAACTTTCTACCTTTGAAACAGCTTTATATTAGTTATGCGTATTATTCCCAGTCCTTGAGAATTTTGAGATAAGAGCTCAAATAGATAGACACTGAAAAACTTAAAAAGCTCATTTTAAAACAGTAAAAAGTGGTTAGCTTCATATATTATGCTGAACCTTAATCTGGTTTGTTTTGCTTTGACTTAGTGTTTTGTGCAAACTCAGTAATATCCTGTATTAGGACTTGATTTGTAGAGTAAGAGCAGCAAAACAGCTCTGCTTTTCTGCTCTCATTGCATCTATGGTAGCTGCTCAGTGGCCCTCTTTTGAGCGGCCAGCTTCCTCCTAGGTAAGGAAGGGCCTAAGGACTGAGTCACTGTGAGGGCTGTTTTAGGCCTCTAACAGATAAAATGGCTCAGATTTGCTTGTTCGTATTTTTAGGAAGGAGATATACATTTAGATTGCACTATAAGGGAAATGTAATGGCAAAGAGTTTAGAAAGCCTGATTTAAGGAATCTGAAAAGAGCTGAGTGCTCTGTGCAATTATATGCCCTTCTCCACTGCTTACCTTTTTCTGTCATATTAGGTAGCTAAGCCCGTGCACCAAACAGCTGCAGAGTTTTGCTCTACTTCTAGTCTGCCAAAGGATCCAGTACTCAGAAGGGAAAAACTGCAAGATTTGATGATTCAAATTCAGGGGACTTACAACTTCATGCAAGTAAGGTTTATTGGTTAATATAAGGGAATTGATGATGAACAGGAAAGGTAATAATATAAAGGAAGAATGACACATTTTTTTTATATAAAGTATCAACAATTTTGAGGCCATATCTCTGAATACATCAAATATACTTATAAGGTAGATTCTGAAATTTTCCATCTCTCAAAAGATATTGGCCCAGTAATATCAGTGATCTTGAAAAGATGAATTATTTTTGCATTGTGAATTTTCAGCAGGATTTTATCTGGCCTATTTTAAAATCAAGACCAGAGAGAAATATTTCTCAATATGTTCAAATTTTACTTATAAATTAGGATCCTAAAATTATAACGTTAATAGTCAGCTTTATGGCCATGAAAACAGGATATTCAGTAAAACATTAATTAGACTGAAATATGTAATATTTACCCATTTATTTGATTGTTAAACAAATGCTACACTTTTAGATTATGTTATCTTGCTTTTTGGGTCTTTTAGTTGTGTATATAAATGTGTATGTGTGTATATTTATACACATATACATTCAAAAGAGTAACATTTTTGTCTTCAAGGAATCACTTCTGGATTTTGATAAACCTTCACAAAGTGCTGGCTGTTCATCACAAGCCTCTTCTGTTGATTCTTCTGGTAATTCTATTCAATACTTTTAAATAAATAAAAATACATACAAGGAAATAAAAGAATAAAATAAAATAAAAAAATTAGCATTCATATTTTAATTTTAACTAGTTGATTATGCTTATGGCAAATTAAGATGACTTATTTGAATGTCTGACATTTTATGAATAAAAAGAGTTTGTATGAAAACTTAATTTTGAATCTTTGCCCAAAATTTCTATTTCAACATTAATTAAAATAAAGAATGTATCAAAGCTGTATTTAAATTATGTCAACATATTGAAGAGATAATGTGATGTGTAAAAAAATACTGCAGTATTTTTATTTATTTAATGAAACATTTTGAGTTATCTTTAATTTTGATTTCAAATTGAAGATTTTAAAACTGTCTTGTCTAGTCTCAACTAGCTACTCAGATACATATTAATAATGCTAAATATAAATATAGCTGTCAGCCTTTTTAAATCTAGAAATGATAACACTGTGTTACCTAATACAGGACTATCCAATTGATAGTTTTCTTAATTTATTGGAAACAGTTATAACCAGCTTCTTATTTTTTAGCTTCTAACGAACAACTTTCAAGCCAAAATGACTTCCCTGAACAAGTAATGCAGGTAAAATTGAAAGTTGTCATTTATGAAGAAAGATGTCAACTTTTAGATATAATGTAATTTATTTGATCTAAAATTTATTTCTATTTCTCCATTGTGTGCCAGGGCTAAATTTACTCTTCTGTGTCAGGAAAAAGTAGCAGTCTCTTGAAGGACAATAAGGGGGGAAAATTGGCTTATTTGGATCCTCACTATAGGTAGTCCTCAATTTATAGCAGTTTGTTTAATTGACCATTCGGAGTTACAACAGAACTGAAAAAAGTGACTTATGACCGTTTTTCACGCTTATGGCCATTGTAGCATCCCCATGGCCACTTGATCAAAATTCAGGCACTTGGCAACTGGCTCATTTATGATGGTTTCAATGTCCCGTGACACCGGTCACATGATCATTGTTGCAGCCTTTTGACAAGCAAAGTCAATGGGGAAGCCAGATTCACTTAACAACCGTGTTACTAACTTAACAATTGAAGTGATTCACTTATAAACTATGGCAACAAAGGTCATAAAATGAGGCAAAAATCACTTAGCAACTGTTTCGCTTAGCAACAGAAATTTTGGGCTCAATTATTTCGTATGTTGAGAACTACCTTTATAATCTGTACTATCAGGGACAGTATGCCTGACTCCCAGTTGTTGGGAGAACTTCAGTGGGAAGATTACATTCCATCATGTTCTACTTGTGGGATTCAGTCTAATGGCGATCAGAACACTAAACTGGACTAAATGTGTCCTGGCTTAACAACTGCCTCACTGAGCAAAATAAATTTTGGAGTCATAAATTCAGGATTACCTGTATTTTCTGAGGTTAGTATTAGTATTTGTCCTCCTGTGAAAAATATCTTAATCTTCTAAACTAGTCTGATTCCAAAAGAGACATGAATAAATGGAATTTTGATCCCCCCCCAAAATAAACCACCTCTGTGTGTGTGTGTATGCGTATAAAATTCCTTCAAGATATTTACTACACCTGTTCCTATTTAATCCTACTTATAATATGGCACACCAGGGAGATACTAAATTAAGCCTCCAAAATTCAAACCAGAATCATTGGGAAGTTGGGCAATTAGACATTTTTTAATTCTTTCCTTGTTTAATGTAATTATCAGTGATGGAATGTTTTCCATGATTGGGCAGACCAAAACTTCTTTCCAAAGAAGTTGCCTTCAGTTATCTGCCATTTTATATCTAATTGAGGATAACATTAAGAAAGGAAGAAAGAGGATGGCTTGCATAACAATGTTCAACAGGCAGCCAAGTTTATCTTTGTCTAGCCTTCTCACTGTAATAAAATATAAATCTTCACCGAAACCCAGTATCTTCAGTTGTCATTACATTACTATTATGGTTCATTGCATAGTCAGCCAGATGTTCAAACTGGAATTGGCATTTTTAACGAGCTATCAAGTCTTTCCCAAGGACCTGGGATGGACAAATGTTGATTGTTTTTATTATTATTAAGCAAATTTATATAGCCATCAACACATCGATGATTCTAGGCAACTTACACCATTAATTTTTTAAAAATTTATAAAATACTGTCTAAGTGAACATTTAACGATAAAGCAAATTTGATAATGTATTTCAAATTACACTTTTAAAGATCTCCTTTAATGGTGTTGTGTCAACTTTTATCATCACAGAGTGCTTCTTCTCCCGTGACTTTGAATGGATCAAACACTTCCTTAGTTTCTGATAACACCTTGTCTGGATCAGAAACTGAACTTCATTCACCACAAGTAAGACAGCTTTACTAATTCCTCTCTGTTTTTGATTCTCTTGATCCTAATATATGTATTTCCCACCTTTAATCGGGGATTGTTTTTGCAGAGCTCCATCAACCTGTAATAGCTTTTGAGAAAGAAGTATGTGGCCTTATGCCAATAATAGCTGGGTGATGCGGGGGGTGGGGGGGCAGGTTAATATCCAGTAGTTCAGTAGTATCAATCAATACACCTTTGCCAGGAAAACAAGAAACAGTCAAGTATGGAAATACCTTGTACCTCTTTTCCAGAACCCCACTTACCTTCTCTTTCTACTGTGCAATATACTTTGAGAAGTACAGTGTCCCCAATACAATATTAGTTATCCTTTCTTTAAATATTGACCTCATTTTGTAGGAAGGATCATTTTTTGCTGCATTTATTTTTTGGTATGAGTTCCGCAAATTTCTTGTTTCCTGAATGTAACCTGATTAGAGTTAAAGGAGGGAGCTGTAAAAGAAGTAAATGAAAATCCATTTTGTGGTTCTTTTTGTCCTTAAAGGAGAAACCCTCAGAGTGTCTATTATCTGTAATAATAATAATAATAATAATAATAATAATAATAATAATAATAATAATAATAATAATAATAA